TTGAAAAACTCATGTAAAAATCTTTAAAGAGATGAACAACATTATTGGAAGGGAGAAATTCATAAGAGGTCGAGGTTGAATCTAGAGGCAAGATACTGACAATTGTGGAAATACTCCAAATGATAAACTTAAATTACAAGTGAGAAAATAAAAACAGTGTATGGATGGAATTGATGAAAATTAAAGCTAGATTGAATAAGCAAAAGGAAGGAAAACGCTAAGCCTAACCATATGCTGTCTTGTGCTGGCTCCAACATGACAAAGCTGATTTCTGGGCATTCTTACTTCTCTTCACAGTCACACTGTGACAGAAACTCCATCGGAGCTTTAAAACTGATGGACAGAGTGTTGATAATACTACACAGTGTGGGAAAGTACGATAAAAGAGGATTTCAAAAGAAATTTTTTTTCTACGTTGAATTTTTACTTAGTGATTAGATAACTGGGCACATATGTAATTAATCAATCAAGGAATCAACCCCATTTATAAATTGGTCATGTAATTTTTTACAGTACACTTACTAAATAAGGAGCACTCTGACCTGCTGTGGGTTTCTAATAGACATCTTGTAACTAGAAACAAGGCCGTCAGAGGGAGAGAGGCTGCAGATGGAAAGACACTGCAGTTTGCACATAGATAACGGATCACTTATGTAACATGATCACCTTCACCAGGTCCAGAAACAAACAAACAAAAAAATGTGAAAGGGGATTCAAATGAAAAGTCTGAAGAATGTCCTTTTGTCTCTGAAAGGAAGCAGCGAAACATGGCTGAAGGAAGATGTTGGAAAGAATGAAAAAATATGGCCTTCAACATGAAATCAAAGCAAGATGTCAGGCTTTGTGGGAATTGGTTTCAGCGTCAGAGCAAAACGAGGCTGCCCTCTAACATCAGCCTGAGCCAGAAGACCTCCACGCCCCAATCAGGTACAACCCTCAGCGTCCATTCTGCACCCCAGCCAAACGCCAGCCCCATCTCCCCTTTCCTTCCCTTCCCTTCCCTTCCCTTCCATTTCCTTCCTTCCTTCCTTCCTTCCTTCCTTCCTTCCATCCTTCCTTCCTTAGTTTCAGGTGTAGAAAACAATGTAATAGACATTTCACCCCTCACCAAGTGATAATCCCCCCTTCCCCAATCTATTGCTCCTCTGACATTGAATGTATCTATTACAATTCCATTGACTCTATTCCCTGTGCTATACCCCAACTCCCCATTTCTTTTTTTTTTAACTGAGCCCTCCTGCCACCTGTTGGCAGCTCAGCTCGGGCCAGGAATCGAACTGGCGAGCCCGTTGCTCAGAACTCGCACTTTTGAGCGAGCTCTTAACCAACTGAGCCACTCGGCCGGCCCTAACTCCCCATTTCTTGATGATTCCTTGGTGCCTCGTCCCTGCCTCCTGGTTTACAGCTATGAATCCGACGCCTCTCGACTTTGCTCTTGGCACCTTGTATCCAGGCCTGACAACATATCCTTCGCTGGCCCTGCAGCTCTGACCATGGGTCCTGCCCAAATCTTCTGCTTGGTTCCTACGAGTCCTCAGTTCTGGGTGAACTGTGTTCCTCAAAGGCCACAATATTCTGCCACAAGCAAGGCCTGGCTTCTGAAGATAGCCCTGACTGACCTCCCAGCTGCCAGGGCCACTCTCGGACAGTGAGTGCAGCAGTGAGCCCGAGGCCTGGAAGAGGCCGGCCTGGTTCCCCAAGGCTTCCCCCCTTGGAGAATTCAGTGACAAGGATGAACTAACCCCGACTCTAACCCAGGTACTGGACTTACTGGAAATGTCTGCAAGGAGCTCTCTCATCCCAGCCCCAAACCTGGGCTAGGAGGCAGAAGGAGTTTGCATATTTTGGTCTTTTAGACATGCCTGATTTCCCTCCCTTACATCCCATCAGATCTTCTATTTCTGGTTTTCCTCCCACCTCTAAGGACACTCCCGCTTAAGCCGCTTTGTACCTCTTTCACCCAGCTTTGACCTAGGCCTTTTTCATTGGTCCCTGTCAACTTTCCCTAGAAAATCTCCTTCATTCCACAGCTTCAATATGCTGAAAGTTATACATTTATACATTACCAAATTTACACAGTGCCTCCAACCTACATTTCCTTTTGGGCTTTGGACCCCACACACACCACTGTCTATTGGATCTCTCCTTGGGTATCTTAAAATCTGCTCAAATTCAACATATTCAAAATTGAACTCTCCTGTCCCCCGCGAGCCTGGGTGTCCTCAGCCTTCTTTACCTCAGTAAATGGCACCAGCACCCATCCAGCTGCACAGCCAGGAACCCAGAGCCCACTTGGACACCTCCGTCTCCCTCTTCCCCCATATTTAGTTTATTACCAAGCCCTTCAGAACCTAGTGGAGCTACTTCTCTCTACCTTCACTACTGTTAATGCCCAGAGACTTAGGTCAGGGTAAAATAATAAAAGCTAATAACTGCCAAAGGCTTATTAGAAACCAGGCAGGCACTCTTTCAAAACTTTATGTAAATGATCTCTCCTAATCACCCTATGTATTCGTTTCTGAGGACCGATGTACCAAATTACTTTCATTGTTAGACTCTCCTATGGCACTAGTGTTACCTTGCAAAATTATAGATCAGATGCAGTGCATGGCATGATACCTGTCATATAGAAGATGCTCAATAAATAGTTGTGAATATTTTAATGAGATCATGTCACCAGGCTCATCAAAAGTCATCAAAATTCTACACTGCTTAAAATATGAGCTTCACACTCCCCAATAAAGCATTGAAGATTGTCCAACCCATCATAACATTAAAAAAATATCTTGGAATGAGATAGCCTTTCTAAGAATGTTTAGAAGTCATGCAAGGAGAAATTGATAAATTTGGCCACATATATATCTAAAAGTTCAGTATGGAAAAATTTCTTAAATGAGGCAAAAAAAACCAAAAACAATGGCTTACAAAAATATTCACAACACCTATTACAGATATGCCCAATTTCCTAAAGATATAAATAGCTCCTGAGGAAGTAGGCACGTTTTTTTGTTGTTGTTGGAATGTAAAAATGGTGAAGCTTCTTTGAAGGAAATTTTAGTAATAAAAATAAAAACATAAATTCATCTCCACTCTGCATTTCCACCTCTAAGAATTTATAGATCATCTCTCAGCTATTCACTGCTACGCCCTCTGCAATAAAAACAGATTGGAAAGAACCTAAATGCTCACCAACAGGAGATGGTTAAATCCATTATAAGGTATAACTGTATCATGGGATACCATGAGGCCCATGTCCATATCCATTATATGGAAGAGGTTAACTCATTTGTAAACAACAAAAAGGACATATATGTATATGCCTCTCTCTCTCTCTCTCTCTCTCTCTCTCTCTCTCTATATATATATATATATATATATATATATATATATATATATATATATTTTTCACTGTAAACTCTTGTATTGTTTGAATCTATTTTGCTATGTGCTTGCATGGTGAGAAAGAGAGAAAGAGAGAGAGAGGGAG